GGGCCACCCCTTTAACTGTGCGGGCCACCCCTTTAACTGTGCGGGCCAACCCTATAACTGCGTGGGCCACACCTTTAACTGTGTGGGCCACACTGTGCCAACTCTTGAACTGTTTTCAGTCCCGCTCCCTCACATGGATAAAATGCAGCACCTGTGCAGTCTGCCTTTACAAACTGTTCACGCTACAGAGACTAAATGCTTTTAACGGCAGGAAGCATCCAAACAGCACTACTGTGTGTGAGACACAATGTGGCCACGCTGATGCAGGACCACCACCTCACCCTGGTCACCACTCTGTACAAGATGAACGTCTCGATCGCCGTCACTTGGCTCTCTGGGTGGTCGACGGTGACAAAGATGTCCTTAGTGTTGGCATCCTCTTTGCCCTCATCATCGTCCTCCAGTCTGTACTGGTTGACCATGGAGCTGGGAGAGTTGGGCAAGGGGCTTCCATCTGGCAGGGAAGTATTCTGGAGCACAGAGAAAGTGCAAACACAGCCTCACTCACTTTATATGTCAACAACACATCAGTGTCAGCTGTGTGTGCACTCCTGTCAGTAAATGAATTCAGGAGAGATTTTCTCTTCACCAAAGCATCTGAAGTTTTTAACTGGTGAATATGTTTATGTTGAATGTTGTTATACACGCAAGGCTTTGCTCGATGAAAGCCTTAATGAATGTTTGTAGAAAGTAAACAATTTATGCAGTTTCTGAAGAAACAGGGCTGTGCGATGTGACCAAAATCTCAGATCCTGATATAAACATTTCTCATCCCGATAACAAGGTAGATCACAACCCTGTGCTTTTTGTGTAAAATCAGTGAATCTCAGGAAACTCGACCTGTGTGCCGTGTTTTCAGCTGGGCGTCGTGTACCTGGAGTCGAGTCTGGAAACTTTGTATTTTTAGTTGTTTCTTTGTGAGTATTTATTACACGGCGTGCTGCGGGGAAAAGCCTGCTCCAACCTTTGAGTCTAAGGTTTACTTTCTCTTTCACGTGATTCTTGCGTAGGTGGTAGAAGAGGTTTGTGTTCGAGTCTGAGGTGGGGCCGGTTTGTGCCATCATTTGTACAACAGCACAGTTTTCTGGTCCGTGTCAGACTTTTCAGAACCAAACCATGTCCATGCTGCAGAGCGACCTGGTTCTGCCTCATCGTCGCTGCACATGCTGGTAGGGCTGTTCAATATAACGATATATATCTGATGACGATATGAAAATGTCTATTGTTTCATTTTACGCTATCATTTCTTTCGTGGTGTCGCAAAATAAACTGTTTACAGCAATATTTTTTTCATGGTTCTGATGGCCACTGTGGTGGCTATATTCATTTCTTAATGAGGATATGTATGATAAGTTGTGGCGATATTATACATGGTTATGCTGAGGATGTGTCGGCCAGTTTCCACTGGAAATGCCTTTTGGTTAAACTGTCAGTGAGGAATTTGCATTTGCACTGTTACATTTTTATATAACTTTAATGCACATAAAAACAGCTGCTTGTTTAAGTGAAAATACATTGATGTTGGTTTTTTTTGCACTAATAAAGTTGTGGAGTTGTAAAGTATTTTGTCTCGTGTCAATTATATCATCAGTTATATCGTTATCGCAAATTTTCAAATGTATATCGTGATAAATATTTTTGGTCATATCGCCCTGCTCTACTCAGCATAACCATGTATAATATCCACAAAACTGAAAAAGAGGTTAAACACACACAATACGGTAACATTATGTTGAAGCACAGTACGTATCACTCCGCGAGGCTCCGCCTACGACAGCCGTAATGCTCCGACAATCCATCAAGCAGTGCGGCGTCGTAGCTTAGCAAAGTCGTACTGAAACATTTGACAGATTTCCGAGCGCCGTGCACATAAAATTTCGAGGTCAGTAAATACAACTAGAGTTCATACATAAGGCACACGGGATTATAAGGGGCTCTGTCGACTTTCAGAAAAGTCAAAGGTGCTTTGTTGTGTATCTGACGGACGAAAGCTAAACCAGTTCCACACCACTGAAGTTGCAGCATTTTTACAAACCAGTTCTGGTTCATCCGTTTCATTCAACGATCCCCTTTCGCCCTTCTCATTCTCCGTCGCCGCCATGCTTTTTCCGCCATGTGCGTATGAAAACAAAGGCACTGCACATGTGCGTTTTACCCATATTCTATTGCCATATTTCATTTTCTTATCGTTGCCCAACATTGTACCGGTGTTACCGTGAACAGTATGATATGGCCCAGCCCTACAGCACGCCATGTAATAAATACAAAGACAATAGCGACCGTTACAACTTTTGCCTAAAAATGTATCGTTTCATGCATCGGTCAAAACACTCGACTATTACGTACGTATTTTTCGGACCATAAGGTGCACGGGATTATAAGGCACATTAAGCGAAACAAAGCAGTCAGATAAATCAAACTTTATTAAACTCATTCTTCTTGCTTCCTCCACTTCTGTACCATTGATTCATTAATGTCTCTGGCAGCTGCTCTGTTCCCATGTTGTTGCAGTATATTAATGACCTCGTATTGTGGATGGATTATCTCAGTTGTTCTCCTGACTGAAGTTTGGTCCGTTTACAGCATCCTGCCATGCGATTGCATTTGTCTCTAACTATCAGGAACCTTCACGTTAACTTTTATAAGTAAAAAGTGTTAGTGTTCGTCCTCCACCTTCACTGTTTATGTTATGCTAACATAGCTGTGTCGCTAGCGATCAGGTAGCACATCATTATATACCAGCTAGCCCAACTTCAGTAACCCTACAAACGTCACTGCTGTTTAGTTTCCTGTCTTCATTTATGTTGGAAGTGATAGCAGAGCTGTACATTAGAATTTTTTCAGAAATCTCTCAGTCAGAACATGCTATATCATGCTTAGGTAACTAGCGAAACTAGCGAGCTAACTTCCTGTTAGCTTCCTGCTAACTTCTAACTCCGTTAAATGTAATAACTTTTGTTTTCATGGATGCCTGGAAGTTAAACTTCATAGTTACACCTGGTAAAGCAGCAATGCTGATCATTTTATTAAAGATGAATTTAGACAGTTTTTAACTCTCAGTGATGCTGCAGTGTTCGTTTGACCTGAAGTATACGGAGTTTAGGACCCAGATTACTCCCAGATTTAAGAGCGTCTTAGTCCGACAAATACGACAATAACGATGGCTGCTTGCATGTTCTGCAAAAAAAAGTGCTTTGTTGTGTATCTGACGGACAAACACCAAACCAGTTCCACATCACTGAAGTTGCACCATTTTTACAAACCAATTCTGGTTCATCTGTTTCACTCAACAATCGGCCATGTGCGTATGAAAACAAAGGCACTGCGCATGCGCGTTTTACTCGTATTCTATCGCGATATTTCATTTTCCTATCGTTGCCTAACATTATACCGGTATTACCGTGAACGGTATAATATGGCCCAGCCCTAGTTGCAAAGCACCTCTTTTTAACTTCAGTGGATATTATACATGGTTATGCTCAGGATGTGTCAGCCCATTTCTACTGGAAATGCCTTTTGGTTAAACTTTCAGCAAGGAATTTGCATTTGCACTGTTAAATTTTTATAAAGCTTTAATGTACATAAAAACCAGCTTCTTGTTTAAGTGAAAATAAATGGAATGTTGTCTTTTTGCACTAGTAATGTTGTGGAGTTGTATTTTGTCTCGCATCAATTATATCGTCAGTTATATCGTTATCGCAAATTTTCAAATATATATCGTGATAAATATTTTTGGCCATATCGCCCTGCTCTAATCAGAACTAATTAAGTTGTGTAAAAAGACAGGATGAATCTGGAAGTGATCCAATCAGAAGTAACCTCGTTGTGCAGCAAAGTTAGAAACACGGTCCTGACAAACAGGACGGGGCTCCCATTGAGCTCCCCTACATGACAAAATGTCAAACTCGAGAGGAAGAGAAGGACAGACAAACTGTGGAGCACCTCTAACCAGTAAAAACACAAACTTTTACACTTTATATTTTTAGTCAACAACACAGTTTAACACGGAGCATGAAGCTGCCACACAGAGTTTATAGCTGCTGATGATTTTCAACCTTTGTCCCTTGTTGGGCTTTTACATTCACAACACTCAGTTACATAAAACCATTATATACTACAATTACAAAACTACAAAGAAGCTGACACACAAGCTATCACAGTGTGCGTGTGTGTGCACATGTGTGGGGCTGTGCTCTGCCTCCAGCATCAGCTCATTTGGACAGTTGGTCAAATCAGCTGATGCTGCTTCTAAGTTCCCAGTGATCCACAGCTAAACCTAATAAAAAACATACGACTCAGGGCTCGCAAAATTTCAAGATCCCTGGTAGCCCTTCTGGCAGGCACTCTTCAGTTTTTGTTAGCCCAAAATAAATTAAAGTAGCCCAAATTAAAAATGTTTTGTTTTCTTTAAAATTAATCAAAAAATAGTTAAAACACAAATTACAAAATTGTATAAAAATTACAATCATCAACTCAAATACTTGGTTCTAATTGAACAGAAACTTCTATGAACTTGTAAGAACTGTGCAGAACATGAATCAGTCTGTGTCAGATCCTGAATCTGACATTTCCACTGAAGTCACGGGTAAGAGGCAAGTGGAACCAAGATCGAGGCCATTTGCTTTTTGAAGTTTGCAAAGACTGCTAAATTGTGCCAAAGGTAGTTCACTCTGCAACATAGCACGCTGCTCTAAACAGCTTTTTCAGGACTTCTTGTTGTGCTTGGTTTATTTTCAGTATGTTATTTGCAATTGGTGTTTGTTCTGGGAAAGATACTGCAGACTGAGCAATAATGCATTTCTTGCATTTGTCATGGGGTCTGATGGGGTCTTTCTTAAAATTACTGGTCCCAGTAACAAAGGCGCTTGTCGACTCAGAAATCGAGGGAAACTCACAACACACCTGGCAGAACATCATGTTATTTAGCTCGTCATATTGCAGCCACAGAAATTCTTTTGTCCATGAAACCATAAAGCTGCACTTTCTTTTTGCCTTATAGTCTGATTTGTCATAACTTCTCCGTTTTGTGGTAAGCTTTTCTTTGGCTGTCACTTCTTCACCCTGACCTGTCTTATTTGGCTCAGCAGAACTAAAATATATATCCTGCTGCTTTTACACAGGCACTCACATAAGCTCAGCGATTCTCTGTGCGATCAACCTCTCACATGTTTAAGCTGCGGGAGATTTCACTTGTCATGTTTGCATAGTAAGCTAACGATTGATAAGACGATGTCAGAGGAATTGGTGCACAAATTATCATCACTCACAGATCAGTGCTGTCGCTCTCTATACACAGTTCGCGCGATTGCAAAGTTGAAAAGTGAAAGCAAAAAAACAAGCGCAAATTCAAACGCGATTTCAATATGTCACACATTGACAGTGGCTCACCGATGCCAATGACATAATTACCCAGCTACATTTCTGAAAGAATGCAAAAGCATTGACATATATTTTCCCTGTGTAAAACAAA